AGTGTGTAGTTAGTGTGTAGTTAGTGTGCAGTCAGTGTGTAGTTAGTGTGTAGTCAGTGTGCAGTTAGTGTGTAGTTAGTGTGTAGTTAGTGTGTAGTTAGTGTGTAGTTAGTGTGTAGTTAGTGTGTAGTTAGTGTGTAGTGTAGTCAGTAGTGTTGTTGTGTGTCAGAACAATGAGGCGCCTGCTGAGTGTTACAGGTGTTACAGCTGTGACACATCTGCTGTTGTCAGGCCTGCAGGTATCAGGCTGATGTTCTCCTTCATCTCATAGTGGACACAAATTATTTTTTGTGACACAAATAATTTGTGTGGCATCAGATTTGATGCAGAACAGCTGATTGTTCTGTAAATAGTTTGAAATGTTTCTTAAAAAATGTCTTGGCTGCATTTTTAGGTAAACAGCTGCAAAAAACTTTGTTTGCAAAACTCAGTTACTTTTTTGAAGAAGTAACTATATAATTAATTGCCCAGCATTGGTCATTATTTACTGTATTTGCAGACAGAGTTACAGACTCTCTCCCAGACCACAGACTCATCATACAGTCAGAGCTTTATTTTTATATTTTTATTTTTATAAAAAAAAAGAAAGTTGTGTTTTCAAAATTGTTGTCAAAGTTATTTTTCCTTCCAACAGTGTTAACATGCTGCAGGTCATGAACAAGATTTTTTTACATTCTCACTGTAAGTGGGCTGAAGCAGTTAATTAAAAGTAGTCTAACATAAATGCTGTAATCTGATCATTTTAATAAACATGTAACTTGCATGGATTGGATGCTGGCGTGACCACAGTGCACACGTCTGCTGTTGCTCACAGTGGTCCAAGGGTCCGCTCAGGGAGTTTGTGTGTTCGCTCAGACACATGAAACCGTCATCTTTCACATCAACTGTTGATGTGAAACTGTTGATGTGTCGTGGATGCAAGTAGTGAAAGAGATACAGCAGGTTCAGTGTGGATGGCGAGGTGCCTACAACACCTCACCCAGAGCCTTCTGTTATGGCCTTATGCATCTCTATAAACCTTAACATGACCAAATGTTGTCGAACTCTTGAGTGACACGTTATGAATACAGAGTTGAATCTTTAAAAACTCCACTCTGTCTAGGTAGAGCGCTAATTTCATTAACAAATCAATATTTCGGTTGTTCCCAGAAACAGGATCATGTAAAGTGCATTAAAAACGCATCCATTTTTTACCACGTTCACAGAGTGACAGAAGCACTGGATATGAAAACACTCTCACACTTGGCTGCCAGTGAAACGTTCAAATGTGTTTTAAAGGGCATAGAAACACACGCCTGTGTTCAACTTGTGTTTTATTTTCCAGGCATGAAACTGACCTAACAGTTCAGCCCACACAGAAGCTGCATGTTGAAGCACTTTGCTTTGGTGTCCATATCATGTCCAGACAACCAGCATTTTTATTGCCTTCTGTGTCCAGCTGGACTTCTTAGACATGGTCAACCATCACTTTGACAAAGGTCCATTCAAAAAGAAAGACTCATCATTAGCACCTCTGGTGTGTAGCGATGTACACCAGGCGATTAAGCCTGATTGCTGTGATCTTCACCCAAGCACCAGAGTATTCAGTGCCACCTTTTCATAAGCAGAATTTCTAAATGGTTTGAAGCTGTAAATAATATCTTTAGTTTTGCTCAATGCACCATTACAGTGAACTGAGGTCTTTGTTTTAGTTTTCATGTGTAACAGGATGACTTAATCTACTAAAATTAGGAATCTGTGTGTATGTTAACTTCTTAAACAAGCTCTGATGACCACACGCGACTTCCAAATGAGTCACGCTGTCTTCCACGCTCAACATCTAGAGCTTTACTATCAAACTGTCTTTGAGCTCTACCTTTAAGTGCTCTCTGCCTCCCCCTCACTTCCTCTCCTGCCTTTGACTCATTCAAATGGCTTTCTGGCTCCAGTCTGAAGAGTCGCTCACTTAGCAACTTGGCAATGGACCTGAAAAGATTAAGAAAATCTTGTGTCAAAAACTGCTGAGTCAGACAAGTCTGGTTTTATCAGCAGTGCCAGAAGTGTGGCCTATCAAAGGGACACACAGCAGCCAATAAGACAGTTCTGCCGTAATAATGCTGCGCAGCCATTGTCTGTCAGCGCCTCTGTGCAATCTGCTGCATTTGGCCTCGCTTAGTTTCATGGCCTTTCACACACAGACTCGTGTTGTACATTGGAAGACAAACATGCCGTCCTGCTTGGCAGAAGAGAGAAATGACATCCAGGCACCAAACTGGATCATGTCCCTTTTTTCCAGCAGGTTTCTTTCTCTGCTTTCAACCATCAGTAATTTAAAATATGAATTCATTTAGCAAAGATGCTCATTTTACTCCCTTTATCCTTGATCGTAGTTGACACTGATGTGCAGGCCTCATCACCCTGGTCATGGGACACAGGTTTTGCTACCCATTGAAGCTGGCAAACGAGCTTAGAAATGCTGGATGAGAGGATGCTGTTACTCCTCCATCTTCAGCTGCAGCTGATAGTCCTTGTTTTGTTCTGCGGCCTCAGTTATCTTAATTACATACCTGTTATTAACCTCTGTCTCTCTTCCACAGCATGTCTTTATCCTGTCCTCCTTCTCTCACCCCAACCAATCACAGCAGATGGCCCCGCCCCTCCCTGAGCCTGGTTCTGCCGGAGGTTTCTTCCTGTTAAAAGGGAGTTTTTCCTTCCCGCTGTCGCCAAAGTGCTGCTCATAGGGGTGATATGATTGTTGGGTTTTTCTCTGTATTATTGTAGGGTCGACCTTACAGTATAAAGCACATTGAGGCGACTGTTGTTGTGATTTGGCGCTGTAGAAATAGAATAGAATAGAATTGAATCTAGTTCCAGATCAGGTTGCCCTGTTGCTACCTCCAGAGGGTACTCTGTGTCATCCTGTCTCTCTGCTTTGGTTTGTAGCTGGTCATTTGCAGCAGAGCTTCTCTCCATGCTTTTAAGAGTGATATATCTGTTTGGCTCCACCCCGTCCGCCCACCCCAGTCGCCGTGTGACCACGTGGGTCCTCGTCACTTGGCGAGTAACTTTGAGCTGGATAAAGGAAGCAGTGCAAGCCCTTTACCTCCTGATGAAAACATCCTGAGTCGAGCCCCTCGGCTGTACAGCTGACGTTGCTGTGCCCGAGGCAGATTCTCTGGTGATAACATCCTGAACACGTGTAGCTTTCCTCTCAGGTCCAGAACGTCCTGGATTTCACTCTTTACAACAGATCCTGCTTTTGGAATATATGCAGGGTGTGGTCTTTGACATGTTACTGACACGTTTCAATAATCTTCACAGTATTTTGTTGCCTCTTTTCTAACTTTTCCTGAAGATGTTGCTAGTGTGTAGGTTAAACGAAGCGCATGTCTATTTAAAATAATACTTTAAAAAAACAAAGTGTTTATTTGCAACAACAATAAAACAAGGTCATGAACTATTCACGTGTTGTTTCTGTCATGACTAATATATTCTGATTTCTCGTCACTCAAACAGAATAAATAAGCTGCAGCATTTATTCTGATGATGACCTTAACACTCAATTTCTCACTTGATGTCTTTCCTCAGACTTGCGGCGAATGACAGCTGGTTTCATGGGCATGGCTGTGGCCATCATCCTGTTCGGCTGGGTCATTGGTTTGCTGGGCTGCTGCTGGGACCGAGGCCTCATGCAATATGTGGCCGGCCTCCTCTTCCTAATGGGAGGTGAGTCTCACACACACACA